GCCACCGCCTCAGCATCTTCGGCCCAACCCCGCCGATTCATCCTGGGCCGCCTGCTCCGGAGCCAGGCCCAGTGGCCCTGCACCGTGGGCCGGCCCGACTCCCAGGGTCTGCAGAGCCCGCGCTCGGGCAAACCCTGTGCAAACCCCGTGCAAGCACAGTTGGTGCAAACACAGATGTGAGGCCTCGGGTACTTGCAGAATTTGGGCAGAGAGGAGACGCCCCCATCCTGACGGCTCAAAGCTACTGGGGCAAAGACAAAGGAAACCCCGCAGGGCCATCTCGAAAAAAGGATGGTCTGCGAACTCACCCGGCGATTTAGGATTTCTTTTTTTACTATTATTTAGTCTATTTTTGTGTTTGACTCGCTATGTGGCCCAGCGTGGCCTCGAACTTGCGGCGATCTTCCTGCTTCAGCCTTCCGAGTGCTGGGATATAGGCGTGCCATAGCACACCCGGCTCTTTTCAGGCTTTATAAAACCCTTAATTTTACCCAATTGTCTAATTTTACAGAGGTGGAAACCAAATTCAAGCCAATTACATTAGTAGCAGTGATACCTTGTAGAAGTGGTGCTTTTCTGACGATCAGCTAGAATTTACTTTTCACTTTTCTTTTTATGTTTCAAACATTTACTTGGTTATTTCCAAAGACTAAATTCCTAGGAGTGGACTTGCACGGTCACAAGGGGTGTTTTTCGAGGCTTGTGACGTTCCTCAGTGGGGCTCAGAGGACCAGAAAGCTGCTGTCTGAGGCCCATGTCCCTGGCTCAGTGGCAGTGGAATGGACAGACGAGGTCCCCTGGGGCCCCGCTCTTTCCTGGAAAAAGCAGATCTAGTCATGGTCCTCCCCTGCTTTACATCCCTGGAGAGTCCCCACTCTTTTTTCCCCCCACTCAGGGTAAAACCCCAAATCCCTGGGGCTCCTCCCCTGCCAGGAAGCTAGGAGGGAGGTACCAGGAGGGGACCCCTGCCCTAGATTTGGAGCGAATCAAACCTCTTGAGTTCCAGCTCTGACCTTTGTCAACAGCCCTAGGGGCTCAGGCCAGCAGCCTCACAGACTCTTTCTGGAGGGGGCTCAGAGTGACCAAGTCATGACACAGTCAGAGGCCACCCCAGGGGATGGCAGAACACTGGGCCCTGGCCTGCTGCTCATGGAAAGTGGCCCAGGCTGTGCTTGAACTTGCGATCCTCCTGGCTGTGTCTTACTGTTACAAGACTGAAACTCTAAAGCGACCGCTGTATAGTGTCTTCCTACTACACAGGTGGTTAAGTGTGTTTATGCACACGTACCTGTGTTGTGGTGTATTGTTGAATTCCAAGAGGGCAAGACAGACCAAATGAGAATCAGGATTTATTGGTGCACCATGACTCATTTGGACTCCTGTCCAAAAGACTGGGTGATTGAATAAAGAAAAGTTCCAGTTTTTATGCATGTAGTCCAAGTGGGGTGGTCTTTCTAGTGACACAATGAGTGAGCTTACCAGAACAGGACAAGGACAGTTTAGTAATTTAGCCTTGTAAGAAGACAGTGTCTTATGAATCATATGAGAACAGAGTGTCATAAACTTTGTTTACAGAACATAGTTGTTTACAGAGCATATAGTTCCTCGAGGGTTACAAAACTTCATTTACGGGAATATGACTGTCTACCTTATGAGTATGGGGGGGTCTGTAGTTACAGGAAAGGGGAGCAGGCAGAATCTGAGTGGGGAGCTGCTAGACTGCTTTCGGCTGGAAGAAATGATTTTCTTTTAAGTTCTGCTTTAATTCTTGTGTCTACATGGTAAAATCCCTTAAGCAATTCTATTCAAGTGGCTTAGTAATAAATGAGCACTCATAAAATTATATCTAAAACTGTAACAAGCTCAAATGCCTTTTATTTATTTCCAAGACTAAGTCTTGATAAATAAAACTATTTGAATTTTAGTTTGTTGTTTTATTTTGCTTTTTGATTTTGTTGGCTTTTTGAGACTGTCTTACCATCTAGTTCAAGCTGGCCTTGAACTCACTATGTATCCCAGCTGGCCTCAAATTGGAGGTGGTTTTCCTGCCTCAGCCTCTGGAGCGCTGGGATTACAAGGCATGCACCACGATGCCTGGTACTGAAACTTGTTAATAAAATAAAAATAAAGATATATAGATATATATTTTTAAAGCATGAATTGTTTATTACATGGTTTCTCTTATATGACAAACCCAAATTATAAATAAATTAAAGAGCAAAAGAAAAGCTAAAAAATAGGAAACAGAGAGTTAAATCTTTTGGAAAGGTGAAGGGGGCCAGGAGATGGAGAGGACAGGAGAGAAAAGAGAAGGAGATTAAAAAAGAAGCCTTGTCACATAAAGTACCAGTTCCCTGCCAGGAATGTCATCATTACATACTGCAAACATGTACTGATAAAAATAAAAACTCTCTTATAAAACATGGTTTTGCTCTGAACCATGATCTTCTCTCGGGCCTGCAGGGGTCCAGTGGTGACTCTAAGCAGAACAAGGGTTGAGCTTCATTCTGTGTCTTTTGTCACTGTCAATCCCGGATCAAATCCTTCTGCCTGTGCCCAGGGCTGTGCTGGTCACTGAGGAGAACCTGTCTGAGCTGCAGGAGAGGGCTGATCAGCCGAGCACTTACAGGATCGCATCCCTTCGAGTTTACGGGCATCCGGATGGGGGCTTTCAGGGATATCCAGCCATTGCCCAACCTGTGGTCACCCGGATGACAGGAGAGGCAGAGCCCACCCTGCTGAGACCCCACAGACAGAGATGTCCTTTCCTGGGACAGATGGATCCCTGACTGTGCAGATCCCAGAGCTGCAACAGCAGGACTGAGATGAAGACCAGTGACCCCAGCCACCTACAACCCTTGAGTCCATCTGAGAGTTTTTCTTTTCATCTCTCAGCGATAGGTGTCACATTTTTAATGCCAATGTGCTATGGCCTGCTTGATGGTCACTGTATATTCAAGAGCTCAGTGCTCAAGTGTGCTCAGGTTTTAGGATCATCACTGTTGTGCCGAGACACCTCTGATGGTAGAACAGAGCCACCTGGGTCTGCAGAGTCGCAAGGATGCTGTGTGGCCACAGCAGTGCTGGGTGAGGTTTCTATACCACAGGCCGCCTATAGGCGCCTCACCCATAGCCTGTAGATCTGGCCAAACTGTTCCTTCCAAAGTCCTATTAACTTGAATATCCTTAGATTTGTGATCTCATTTGTGTGGATTTTTGAAATTATCTTGTCTTTATAACTAGAGCATTTTGCTGCTGTTATTTTTTTGGTGGAGCTGGGCGGGAATTGAATCCAGGGCATCATGTAGGACATACACATATTTTACCACTGAGCTACATCCTCACAGTGTATGAAACTGAAGGCACAAGGCATGTGTGTGTTGTTTGGGGGATTTTATTTAGTGACAGGTCCTTGCTTTGTAGCCTAG